CCAGTCCCTCCAAACCCCCCTGCCTCTGATGCCTGCAGAAGTCCAAGCTGAGGAGGGTAAACCTACATCTGGGCAGGATTTCCGTAGCTCCTCTGGGACCTTTTGACCCAAGATCCCTGGGCTGACCAAGCAAGTCTTCCCTGCAAATAGGGTCATCTGCAGATTGGTTCCCTTCTACATTTGTGAATAAATGTTCACTGACACTCTTGAAATGTCTGCTTTAGTCTTTTTATAACTGTCAGACCTGCCAATGTCGCATTCATTTGACACATGAGCATCTTCTATAGACATCCCAAACATGAACGAAGTTGTAATGGACAAACATTGTTCATCTCTTAAGCAACCAACTCCTTGACTGCAGATAGCATCAGGCGTTCAATTTTTTGATCTATTAAACTGATCGCTGAAGCCAAAGCACTGCACTTAATATTCAACAACATCAAGGTTACATGCAATGAGCAAAGATTGTGATCGAGCCTGCCCTGCTTAGACTATCAATACTTAGACACACTCTATATGAGAGTGCATGGCCATTTATTATCATGATTTCTTTTCCTGATTTAAAATGTCACAATCAGCCGTGGTGGGATTTAAACCCATCACGCACACGAAACCAAGTCAACCTTGTACCAAACTCTCCCTGTCCCAGACGGTTAGCCTGAGTCTCTGATTTACTAGGCTAGTGACATTACGACTACATCACACATCTCATATGATTGTTGAGTTTGTAATGTTCATGGCAGCCAAAAGAATGACTTCTCAATTGAATCCAATTTGATGGCAGATGGGTGGCTTTACAGAATGGGTGGATGCATGATTGATATAATTGACACTAGCAGAGCCAAACATGAAAAAAATACCCTGCGCCTGAAGAGAAAAACGGTAACTTACTTCATACAATCTGCATGTGTTGCGTTTGGTGCAAGGTTGAGTTGGTTTCATGTTCCTTGGTGAATGAGTTGAGAGCTCTGCCTGAGACTGTGCAGTGATTCCACCCCCCCTCTTCTTTCATGTTCCCTTTTGTGTTACTGTCCCTTCATCCCAATTACCTTTCAAACTCTCCCTAAGTCCATGCAGCCCCTATATTTTATTATTAATTCTTTAATTTATCCTCTGGGCCATAGCTTTGCAATTTGCAGTGACCTTGTTGGCTATTTATGGACTTCAAAATGAAGATAGGGTGTTTTGGATTTTTGCAATCCCATCTTCCTTCAGATCCCATTCCCCTCCTATGTAGTGTGAGGTTCCACCCTTCTGTCTAGATGTGCTGACTTTTACCATTGCCATTCCCTCAATGACCTAGTCCAATAATTGGATGAAGGCTCAGAGAAGCAAGCAATGTGCTGTGGCACAGGTAACCACTCTGACTTTCAGTTGTAATTTGTGGTGTGTAGTTGCTTCGGCACTAAGGGGAGAATGGAGAACTACATAGAAACGAGGTGAGATTAGCTATTAATAAGATGCAAATATATGGAAATAAGGTATTTGCTGCTCACCGGATAGGTTCAGAAGTTGCCAATTAAACCTTAAAGGGGCAATTGGAATTTTTTTCTTGACATTGGGTGTCTGACTTTGTCATTTCACTGTATTTTCTTTCAACGTTCTCATCATTGCCTACATTGCTGAAAGCCTGAAAATAATCTGCTCTATGTCATGCTGTTTGGGTCTTGTATTGCATGATGTATCAGAGTAATTTGGATCTTATGTTGCCATCTAGTGACTGAAAGAGATGTTTTGTTGTACGTAGAGTTGTGACCTAGACTTCCAAAAAAATTTAACAATTATACAATCAAGATAGTACTTTTCAGTAATGCAGCAAATTGAGAGAACAAGGGATTAAACTCATCAATGACTGCATATTAGATCTAAAGATCAGTAAGAAATAATAATTGCAAAGTTTACTGTTTAACTATGAGCTTTAGGGGCAATTCTCATACGTTAATCACATCAACAATTCCTATCGCAAAGCATGTTAGGGAGTGGTAGCAGTGATGGTTGAAATGGGTAGTGGTGATGATTGAAGGGGGAAGTTGTGATTGGAGTGAATAGTGGTGGTGATTGGAGATAAAGGGAGTTATGGATAACCTTCCATTATCTATATGATGTAGTAAAAGTGCATATACTATTGTAGAGGAAGATAAATTAAACAATTAGATCAATGGAAAGAGACAGATATCCCAGTATTAATCATTCATGAAGATCAGGTTGACTTTTCTGGGAGCTCTATCTCAAGAGTTTTAATTGCTTAGAGGGTTGAAGCTGGAAAATATTATATATTGTGTCAAGTGTTGTCCTCAGAAAGTTTTATCATAAACACCTCACATCATCTGTCAAATTGTGGTAGCAATTCGAAGCATGATTAAAGTCATACCTAGAACACAGGAAGTTGGTAGTAATTGTTGAAGATTAATCATCTTGGCCTGAGGACAGTGCTTAGACTCAACCTTACCTCATCAATTAACTTCCTTGTTAGAACATATGAATTAGGAGCAGAACTAGGCCACTCAGTGCTTTGAGCCTGCTTTGTCATTCAGTAATAGCATGGCTGACCTGGTGGTTCCACATTTCTACCTACACCTGACAATCTTTCTAAACAATAATCTATTCATCTCTACTTTAAAAATATTAAAACTTCTTCCAGAGATTATCAGCTCTCTGTGAGAAAAGTCTCCTCATCTCTCGCTTAAATACATGTACCCTTCATTTGAACAGTTTCTAGATTCTCTCTCAAGAGGAAATATTCTTTTCCACAGCCACTTTATCAAGACTTGTTGAGGATCTTATATGTTTCAAAGAAATCACCTGTTACTCTTCAGCTGATGTAAGCCTAGTCTGTCTAACCTTTCTTCATAAGAATCTGCTCAATCAAGGTAATACTCCAATTAATCTTTCCCTGAATTGCTTCCATCTGTCCTTCTGTTATCAAACATTACTCTGCAATAGCATAACCTCCAACTTAACATTAGTGTTCCCACAAAGCTGTTACTTCAAGCTTTCTAAAATTCATTAACATTTTATATTCATGGTAAACGGTATATTCTAATTAGATACGTTTTTAGATTGCTTTTACATATATAAGTCAAGAGCTTCTTCTTTCACTTTAATGCTGATCATCATGTGTTCTTGAAAAACTAAATAAAACAATTACTTATAAAATTAAAATTTAAAATTGTTAATGTTGTCAATATTTGAATGAGGTGTAATTACAACTGAAGTAAATGTCATACAAAGCTAGGATACAAATTTAATAACTCCTTCGGAAAAGCCAAACACTGTTTTAGATAAAAGTCTTGCTCTTATTTCAGTTTCTAGTATTGCTGGTTTTCTCATCAACAGAACTGCACGGCTAATGCACAGGATGTCATTACCAAATGTCAAAGGTTAATGAAAAATTTTCATCATGGATAAAGTTTTTTAATGAAAGTTCCATAGGAAAAACACAAGATGCCACATAATTGTTGTTTTATTGCCAATAGTCATACAGTTTTTTTAAAATAATCAACAAATACAAATGTAAACATAGTTTATGTTAAAAATGTTGCAATTTATTTGTATTCAAAACAGCAGCCTCTGAGATACGCACAACTATTTGATCAAAAGGCACGTTTTTGTAGCAGAGCTAGAGATTCAGTGTTGCCTGGCAGAACTTGCGAAATTAATTCTCCTAAATTCAGCAACTATTTTGTTTTAAAAGTGTTGCACTGACCCTCACTTTGCTGAATAATGATGAACTCTGAAAGAAGCAAAACACTAGAATTTTAAGAGTTAAATATGAAGACAACAATGCCAGATCCTGGGCATTGATTTTATGTTTGTGCTAAGCTTGATCGTAATTTTCAATGAAGTATAATATTTCAAAATAGCCAATAAATTTATTGACTTCTACTACACTTATCAAAGTGTCAGTGATTGGTAGCGATGGATTTGGTACAGTAATATAGTGAGGAAAGCTGTCCCAACCAATAACAACTGCTAGTTTAAGCATTATTTTCTTACATTTTAAGCCTTTCAACTGATTTCAACAAAGAACTAATCTATTGCAGGCTTTGTGCATGTTTTATGTAAGCTTTCAATATGCTAAATAGGACTTGCTGCTAAGCAAATATCTTGAAAATTGTTTTGTATGTTTATTACATCAAAATGCTCTGGTACTTACAATTTACAACAATGAGAAAACTGTAACATTCATTCAATTCACAGAATAAAATAATTATACAAATTCAAGAATTGTTTTAAATAACTTAATTGTACCATATTGTGGTTGATTCTGATTGATTTTAATCTGCGTAATAAGCAATTTCTCTAAATCCAACCACATAAGCCAGATAAACCTGCTTATCAATAAAATGTTTAATACGCCATTACTTTCATCAGCTGTATTTAAAATGTACATTGTGTTCATTTCATACCAATATCAATTATATATCTATGTGCAAAAGCACTTTGTACTCAAGAGTTAAAATGGTCTGCAAGTAAATGAAAAACATTCAAAGTGAAGTTCCTGTGTAATAACCACTTAGCAATAGCACTGTATCATTACAGTTCTCATGTTCTTAATTTCTCAGATAAAAACAACACAGTCATAAAACACATTGTCAGTAGAGTTTCCTTTACAATCTTCAAAAACAAAATAAACGACAACATCAATGTCAGGTTTATCACCAGTTAGGTATTTGAAGATTTTGATTCTTTTTCTAAAAGACTGTCATTCCTTAAAATAGTAGCTGCAATTTAAAGTAATTTTGATTAAATATCTTCCTTTTAAATATTGTGCTTCTGTAGTAAAATGTTCCAGATGAAGACATCGAGAAAAAGAACATAAAATATAATTTCTGCACCATATGTGCTAGATATCTGCATTTCATCTATACAATAGTAAATGATTCAATATCTCTTAGAAATATAATGATTCAAGTTGAAACACAGAGCATAAAACATTTTCACAACACCTTTTTCACAACTCAATCATTTGCTTTAAGTATTCAAATAAAACCCCTGCTTGCTTTGAGCCGCACAATATCAATTCACATAAATCAGACAGTTCTCAAAATTCAGAGATTTCTTCTCCCTGTTTCCACTAAACAATACACGAGGGAGTAACAATTTCCACCAGGTTGTTTAAATCACACGACAAGTTCTGGCAATCATTGCTTTTTCTCAACTGATTGCTTCAGACACAGTTCACTTCCAGCAGAGACTATAGGCAAATTGCTGTCACGGTGATGGTAGATAAGGTGGCTAATGCTTTCAAATACATGATCTTTAGTCCGAACCTTTATAAATACACAATAAAGAATATGAAAAGTTTAGAGTCAGAAAATACCATGCAGACATTTTATATTTCCCACGCAGGACTATGGTTTAATTTAATTTAATTATTTTTAATTTAAACATACTGTCACTGCTCCAGTCCAGAATGCTTAGGACCAAATCATATCTGGATTATAAAATTATGAATGATTGCCTAATTACAAATTTGCAAACTGGAAAACCCTGTACATATGAATATATACCCGAAATATGAAATAGTGATCAAAAATTATGAAGCAGTAATAAAAATTGTTTTACTATCTAATGTATCATTATATAAATTATTTTTACTTTCACATTTCCACTCCAACTATTCTCTATGAAAACGATGTAGGAAATGTTGAGAGTCTAATCAAAAGCCTTTCAGTCAACCGGTGAAGCTGAACAGTAGATTTCCAGACTTGAGGGGGTCACAGTATATATTCAATTTTTTTTAAAAACAAATTCTGTTTAAATATTTTGAATTGATGCAAATCAAAAATTGCATGACCTGTACAAGCGTGCATGTTACATTCAGTAACTTGGATGATACAATTCACACAGCAAAGTTTTACAGTGACGGAAGAGGTATCATTGTGTGACTTAATAATTTAATTGCAGCTCATTTTGTGATTTAAAGTAGTTGAAGTGAAGTTTTTTTAAAAGAATAATACTGTCTTTAAATTTTAGTAAGGGAAAGTTCTGTGTTTATTGATGTATGAAGGGTTACAGAGATTGGAATATGCTTCCATTTCTTATATTTAATGTCATCATCAGATATGTACAGTCCAGGAGTACCATAACCAAATGCAAAACAACACTGCTTAGCTCCAGCTCAGAAGACCTCCTCTTATTCCAGCATAATAGTCAACTTTCCATTTCAGCCATATACCTCCTCATGTAGCAAACCCCACCCTCTCAACTTCCAACATTTGAGGAAGCACCTAAATGTGGATAGTCCTGTAATATGAATGTAACTGTATAAGGAACTGGGTTGAGAGTAGTCAAAATTATTGTATGTAAGAATGACTACAATCAAAAAGAGAACACATTTATCCTTTCGTTCTGGGTGGCTTTGAAAAAAGTCCTAAAAATGAAAGTGCCCAATTGGTCAATTATTGAGGAATATTAACATTAACATTAAAGAAGGCTGGTACCAATTCACCCATATTCACTTCAGAATGACATGAAAAAGGGTTGCAAAGTTTAAAAATCCTTTCACAATGAAGCAGGTGAATTACTTTGCTTGTATCTATTATGAAAGTGTTACTATAGTTAAGGTAATAATGCCTTAAAGTGCTTACATCCATTAAAACTTTGAATATTGCCAGTGTTGTACAATGGACAGAATTAGCTTCTCCACTTACTGCACACTCTACTTAATGAGCAAGTAGAAGGTGATGTGAAATAGAACAATAGATCACTGTCTAGGCTCCAATTTTACCACGGGAGGCGCTATTTTGCTGAATCAGTCAGGTGCCAATAAAGTTGTTAAGTGGTCATTATTGGTCATTTAATGGCCTTCTCCCACCAACACAGAGGAAGCTCTGAGTGGGGTAGGCCTGATTTCAGGTCCTCCTGCGCTCATTTGAGGCTTCTGCAAGTCGTCTTTCCCTGTGGGTTCCCCTCCTCTGAGCCTTGACAATCGCCAGTCCAGAACTCCCTCGCCAGGATTTGCCAGCCTTATCCCATCAAGACCCTAACTCAACTTTCGATTCTGCTCCACAACGTGCCAACCTCAAGGAATGTTGCACTACTAGTAGTGGTCTCTGCTCCCAGTACCAATGCTAGCACTAGAGAGCTGTCAATGATTTGATGGTCAGCAACTCTCAAAAGAAGATTTCACCCCTGCTGGGTCTAATCATTGCATAACACAATAATTATAAACTTAGACAATGGCATTATCTTAAGGCAGTCAATTCAATTTTTATTCCAGCTAAGTATCCACTTCCTAAAATCCAGGATCTAGTGTTATCATGAAGGTCAACATGAGATGGAGCTAACTCCAGATAACACAAGCCACTATCTTGTAACTTTTGTTATAAAGGTGTGATATAGTACCACACAATGATTTGTGGACTAAATTCAGCATCTAGCATATTCCTGAAGATTGTTTCATAAGTTTTGACAAGTGTTAAGTAGATGCTCAACCTATTTGATGACAACACTGAAGAATCAATGGAAAGAAACAAAGCAGCAGAAAACGAACAGTGGCTAACTCAACTTGCACAACACAATTTAACGCTTGGCAAAGACAAATTTGCATTTGTCATCCAATATTGCCATTCTAGGCATAAAGTGACAGAACCAGGAGTAAAGACTGCACATGACATTGTAAAACTGTCATTATAAGGCAGTTAGTACCTGAAACGATTAAGTGACATCAGAAGATAAGATCTGCCCATCAGGATTTCAGTGTGTTCCTAGAAGGAGCTAATCAGATTCAAGATGTGTCGATGGTTTAGTGCCAGTGTGTTTCACTACTACAAAAGCCACAGACAGCCAAGGACCAAAAAGGTGAAAAGAATCTAGTAAGAAAACTGCATCCTTACATATTCAGAGGCTCAAAAGCACACAGAGCCTGTCAACCTTTGTAAATGCTCTAGACAGTGGTTAAAAGAGCAGCAGCAAAGATAGTAGTACTAAGCCTGACTGTAAAATCATAAAGCAACTAGATGTAGTGAAACATACTGATTAAAAATAACTTGCAAAAACCATACAGAATCTTACCAGAGCCACAAGAGGAAATTTTGTATAATACACATGGGTTACCCTGGATAGCAGTTAATGCCAGATACTAAATGTGAGTTAAGCCATGAAGAGGAAGGTTGAAAATATTTACTTCTAAGGAGAAACTCTAGGCAGAGATTCTAAGAGAAGGTTTAAATCAGCTTATTAAGCAAATCAGCTTTCTTACATTGTCTTAAAATCCATATAAAAAGAATACTGGCTAAGAAAATTGGTGAAATAGTGTAAAAATCAACTAATGAGGATGGGAAAATTGAAGACAGAAGAAGAGTTTATTAGTAATACTGCTTTGAAGTGAAAAACACACCTTTATTGTTTAACTGAAATTACTTCTTTAAGAACCGTCATCAGCATGACACAATTTTTTCAATGATAAATAGCTTATAGAGCTCAGAGAAGAAGCAGAAATGGCAGTGTTTAAATGGGTGTGAAAATCACTAAGAAGAAAGGGAAAACAGCACAAAATAATAATCTTTCCTCCATCTTGGGAAATTAAAACAATATTTCTGTTTTAAAATATTTCAACTTCTTTAAGCATTTGAAAACAATTTTTACAGCAAAATAGAAGGATAATTCTACAACATTCAGAAATATTTTAACTTTAATTCATCAAAATTAAAGAATATTTCCACAAAGCAAAATAAGAGGATAGAAGATAAAAATCTTTATAAAAATAACAAAGCTTTTAGTAGTCAAGCTTGCAATTCATCTTCATAATTCAATAATAAAGAAAACTGTAGCGAAAACTGGACCTTATAGAATATGAATTCCCTTAATTGGGCTGTTAATCCGGCCCAATCAAGAAGCCCTGGCTGACAGATAAGAACATGAGTGTCAGAGGTTCTGTTCACTCAGAGCTGGCTCTAAGGGAGGTGGATCAGTGTCAAGGACTTTACACATGTAAGAGTGACTTGAATCCTAGAATTCCCTCACTAAGGACCTTGTGGATCAATCACAACATGTGGAATGCAGCAGTTCAAGAAGGCAGGTCACCACCACCACCTTCCCAAGGGCAACTAAGGACAGGCAATAAATGCTGGCCAGCCAGAGATGCCCATGACCCACAAATGAATAATAAAGGATAGACTAAACATGAAAGAGCATTAGCATGCTTTCAGTTGGAAGTATCAGGAATTCATTTTTCTTTTCCTAAGCTTCTAAAAGCTTTCGTAAAGGAAATTTTACTGCAGCTATATAGGGCCTTGATAAGACTGCATCTTGAGTACCAAGTTCAGCTTTGGTCATTTTTGAAAAAAGGATGAAATAAAAGTAGATCAAAAAAGGTTTACTCAACTCATTTTTAGGATGAAGAACTTCTTTTATGTAAAATCTAGTTAGGATAATGATTAGCTTGGAAAGCTTTTTTTTGCAGTTTGCAGAAATCCTGATTTGAGTTAGCTGTATAAACACAGCTCCTTCTGAAGAATGGAGTGGAAAGAACAATTAAGAAACATGTGAACTTAGTGTAAAGATTTTAGTTTGAAAGCTGAAGACTAGAGTGTTTAGATAGAGCTGGCAATTTGAACCTGAGAAATCTATGTTCATTTGTGTGAATATTTGAGAAAGAGTCTACCAAACTCTCTAAACCAAGAACTTCAAGAAACAGTTAAGTCAATTGTATGTATTTGATAGATAAGGGAATTCTTTCTCGTGTTTGAGAACTGTAAGGTAATGATGTTAGGAATAAACAGAATTGTATTTTACGCAGTGTTTTTAAATAAACATCTGGAATTAGGAGTCTAGATATGACCATGAATCCATTGTCGATTGTCAGAAAACCTGTAGCAGCCTCCTGGGTACATTGGCCAAGTAAAACTCTAAAATTACAAAACCCACACATCAGACACAGTGCAAACACAAGCAGCCAGATGCTAATGATATTAGCATAATGCAAAAGACAACAGTTATCCTGGTCAGACATACCCCAATGACTTATTCACAAAACAAAGGTGAGCCCAGACAGAAAGGCACAAAGAAACGAACTGCAGCATGCCATCTAAATGATTGACTCTTGTTTCAAACTATTAAGTTTATCTCCCTGATTGGCCAGAACTATAGAGAGTTCCAGAAAACTTTCTGAAGGGTATAAAAACAGGGTTCACCCGCAAACCTTGCACTTGGAATCTCTTAAAATTGCCTGGTGCCTTCCGAGGAGAACAGCATGGCAAGAGGCAGATCCTTAGTAAGTATTTTGTATTGGTATTCACCGAGGAGAAGGACATGACTGACATTGAGG